GATGTCCCTGTTGCCACCAACAGCCGGCAGCCAGCCCGCCCTGCCCGGGACTGCCGGCCCCGCCACCCTGCCCTCCCTGCGAGGGCGCCAGGCAGGCGCTTCCAGCCAGCCTGGGCTCGCTGGAGCTGGGCTTAGGCCTGTGGGAATGTAATGCACAGCACATCCACATCACCCCGAGCACGGGTGGCTGCTGTCACCTGAGGTTGCCATCCCCACCTGGTGTGAGTGGCCCTTCTATGTACCTGTGACTGTGTGTCATCCTGTGTCCCTGTGACAGAAGGATGTGGGCGGGATCTGCCACTGGCTGGTCGTGGGAATCACCTTGGAATGGAAGTTGATCCATGAAGCTTCTCTCTGAGCAGCTGGTGTCCATGCACAGGCAGTCAGTGGGATGAGGTGTACTGACAAATTGTGGCTCTGCAGGGCCTCCTTTGGGCAGCACAGTGATGACAGCCTGGGCAGTGCACTGGGCAGTGTGGGTACTGCCCCGGTGACAGCATGGGCACTACGCTGGGGATGGGGCAGAGCGTGTGCTGGGCACTGCAGGGTCAGTGCACTGATACCAGTGTGGGCAGTGCACTGAGGACAGCATGGGCAGTGTCACAAGTGCAATTAAGAACCATAGTGCAGGGACCAGAGATGCAGATACAGAAAAATGGAAGGAAAACAAGCTGTGATGTTTCAAAGTACCTTAGGAATGAGAATGGTCTTATCTGGTGCTGGACTGGGATGTGTGTTCACATGGTTACACACGTGAGTGGTATGTTCATCCTTATTTTTCATCTCTGGAAAGAAACAAGATGAGGGACTTGTATCATGATACCCGAAGTGCTTCCAACTCTGTTCATCGTGAGAAAATGTAAAACATTGTCTACTAAGGAGGATAAATGAAAAGAAATTAGTATAACAGATGGCTTCCATACAGGAGTGACGAAAGAGCCATCTAGGGAGGTATCTGCTCTCCCAGGGGGCATGTCTCGCTGGTCTTCAACACAGTCGTAGTGCTCAGCACTGGGAGCACTGGGTGGAGATCTATGAGTCCACGTGGCTGTCGCAGGCACATGTGCAGAGCTCCCTGCACCAGGGCAGAGCTGTGGCTCCACAGGCTGCAGGGTCAGTGTGAGCAGACCCTGGCAGATCTGACAGGCTGCGGGATGTGGTGCAGCCCTGGGAAGGAGCGTGCGTTGTGTGCTGAGCAGCTCGTGGTGTCATGGCTGGCACCTGCCCAGATGCCTCTTTGCAAAGAGTCCATGTGGGGCCTGGGTGACTCCTTGCTCTCGCTGTGCAGGCTGAAACGCCGGGGGCTGAACTGCTACATGTATGCGCCCAAGGATGAGCTGAAGCACCGGCTGCTCTGGCGAGAGCCCTACACAGAGCATGAGGCAGGTAGAGGCTCTGCTGGGTCCCATGCAAGAGGGCTTCAGGCATCCTGGGTCCCCGAGGGTGAAGTATGGTCTGTGTCCTAGCCAGGGTCAGACTGGCTGCTACTTTTGTCCTGCCAGGATCCTGCCCATTGCAGGGATGCCCCTAGACCTTGCCTGGTGCAAAGAGACCCCCATACCATGCCCATCATGTGTAATTGCCTAAGAGACCACTCAGCATGGGGAGTTCCCCATGTGGGTCCCTGGCATTATGCTTGAATATACCCTAGCCCATAGACCCTTGTCAAAATTCCTCTTTGTCCCATGGGATTGGAAATGGTCTCCCCTGACCCTCTCTCCTCTCAATGCCCTCAGCTCCTTCTTTTTGGACTGCTGTGGTTCCCTCTCTCTCCATCCTTTTTCCCCTTTCCATCCTTTCTCCCCTTTCCATCCCTTGTCCCCCTCCATCCCTTGTTCCCCTTCATCCCTTGCCTTTCAGCGCTCACAGATCCCCTCTGCTCTGTCCCCAGCCCGCATGCAGTCTCTCATTGAAGCTGCCCAAGAGCAGGGTGTGGAGTTTGTTTTTGCCATTTCTGCTGGCCAGGACATGGTGTTTTCCAGTGCTGGGGATCGACTCCTGCTGCAGCAAAAACTCAGGCAGGTACCGTGGGCCATTCCTTCATCCCACTGCTCCCAGACAAGGGGCACCAAGGGCTGGTGTGGGGCTGTAAACCTCTCCTGCTGCTGGAGCAACTCTGTGGGGTGCCCAGTGGCCGATGTGCTGTCCTGGTCGTGGTGACAGAGCTGAGTGCTCCATGGACACCTGAATGGGGGCAGGAGAAGGACCAGCCAAGCCCCAGCACTTGCTGGGCAGCACCAGGGGCTGGTGAAGGCTGGTGCCAATCCTCAGTTCCCCAAGGAGTGTGAAGAGCTGCTGGCATGGCGGGTTTGCTCTGTGGACAGCTGCTACTTCCGTGGCACGGCCCGGGCAGCAACTGCCCCATGCTGTGCCATGCTTGACTGCCTCTCCCCATCTCCTTGGGGCTTGTTGCCTCCTCTCTCTGCTGCCCAGGGATCCCAACAGTCTGTGTCCATGCCTGCAGGTGGCTGCCATGGGGTGCTGCTCCTTCGCACTGCTCTTTGATGACATCGACGCCTGCATGTGCCAAGCTGACAGAGAAGTCTTCCCCTCCCTGGCACAGGCTCAGGCCTCTGTGGCCAACGAGGTGTACCAGAAGCTGGGCCAACCCTCTGTCTTCCTCTTCTGCCCTACAGGTACAGCCTGCAGCCCTGCAGCCCCAGGGGAGCTCCCACCTCCGGGAGCCACCTCAGACCGGGGTGCCTTTCAGCTGGCTGCACCCAGCCCCTGTCTCTGCTGAGAGCTGAATGCCTTGGCAGTCCCCACAGCTGTCTCCAGGCTCCTCATGCTCATGGGGGAGCTCTGCAAATCTCAGAACTAGGACAGAACCAACTTGCAGAGGGCCTATAGCTATGTTCACTGTGTTCCCTGCACTGTGCTCCTCCCCAGCCCCTGTCCATGATCCTGGCAGGCCTCCTCTCCCAACTCCTCACCCCTCAAAGGATGCTCTGTGCACTCTTCCCAGAATACTGCAGCTCACTCTGCTCTCCCAGCCCCAGCCAGTCCCGCTACCTGCAGACTATTGGCCAGGAGTTGCTCCCAGAGATTGGTGTCATCTGGACAGGTGAGCACTGGGACCAGCTCTGTGGGCATGTGGCCTCTTGCAGGGTCTGAAAACCTCATGGCTACAGGCCCTGTCCCAGGAGAGCCACCAGCAAGCAGCTCCACTGTGGTGCCTGGGATTGGGGTGTGCAGCCCCAGCCAGGCAAAGGGTGAGGCTGGGGGTCTGCTCTTCTGGCTTGGGAGTGCGGTTGGGGTAACTTGACCCTCATTTTCGTGCTCAACACCCAGAGGTGTGTATGTCCCTGCTATGTCTGTGATGGACACTGCTGGTGTGCTCGACATGTGTCCATGTCCTGATGCTCCAGGCCCAAAGGTGGTGTCACAGGAGCTCTCAGCTGTGCTGCTGGAGGAGGTGGAGGGTGTCCTGCGGCGCCGCCCTGTCATCTGGGACAACCTCTACGCCAATGACTATGACTGCAGACGTGTCTTCCTGGGCCCCTACATGGGACGTGCACCTGGTCTCATGCCCAGGCTCCATGGACTACTCCTCAACCCCAACTGCGAGCTCCAGGCCAACTTCATCCCCATACACACACTGGGCACCTGGTTTCAGAGTGAGCTGGGGAGCTGTGCCCTCCCTGATCATGCAGGTACTTGACCTTAGTGCCCAGCAGCTCTGTGCCTGACCATTCCTACCTGTCTTTGCCAAGCCGTTCAGGCTTTCCAGCATGCCAGCCTGGGTGAGGTGTCTCACCTGGCTGGGCACTGCCCCATATCCCTGGGCATGGGATCCATCCTGGGGGTGCCTGCTGAGGTGAGGTGCTCACCCTCAGCATGGCATGGGATAGCAAGGAGTAGGGCTACCCAGGCTAATGAGCTGCAGTTCCCTAGGAATGGAGATGGCAGCAGCCCTGGAGTACAGCCAAGGTCCACAGGAGGGAACCTACAGCCCCCAGGAAGCCTTGGAGCTGGCGCTGCATGACTGGGTGGTTGAGATAAACCAGCAGGCTGTGGAGCCAGGTAGATGATGGACTTGCATGTGCAGCATCCCTCACTCCCTCGGAGCCCTGGACCAACTATGTCTGCTGTCTCCCTGTTTGGATGGGTGTCTTGGGCTGGTGTAGCAGCAGAACCTGTGCATGCCATGGTGGGCAGATGTGGGTGTCTATTGTGTTGTGCAGCCCTGTATGTGCTCCTGCCATGGCCACATCCTGGAGCAGCTCTGGAATAGGGGGTTCAGCCAGGCATGAGCTTGGTGTTTTGCAGTGTTTGCCTGTGCAAAGCCTGAGCCTCACCAGCCTCAGAGGCATGAACTCAAGCCCAGGGTCCTGGCAGCTTCCGGGTCCCTGCCAGCTCCAGGATGGAGCTCCCTGGCACAGCCATCCCTGGGCTGTCCTGCCCCATGGGCAGCAGTTTCCGTGCAGATACCAGAGGGACTTCCCCCTTGTTCATTTCTGCCAGGAGGAAGGACCCCAGGACACCCCAGTGTCAGCCTCAAGGGAGGACCAAGGCTGCAGCCTGGCATGGCAGGAAGACAGGAGGTCATGCCTGGCCACCAGCCCCATGACTCTGTTCCCAGAGGGGCAGACCAGCACAGCCCTGAGCCCTGTGGTATGGCACCAGTGGAGGAATGGAGGAAGGTGACCCTGGAGCCTGAGAAGGGCAGTGGGAGCAGGACACCCGCTGGTGGTCAGCAGAGCCCCACAGGGGATGGGGACCAGCTCACCATGAGGAGCAGGGATACCTGTGAGTCCTCCTCTGCTCTGCCCAGCATGGCTGGAAGTGCCCAGCCTGCAGAAATGCCAATAGCTACCAACACTCTCCACAGCCCAGGTCCCACCATGAGCTCCAGCAATGGGGCCAACACTAGTCAGAACCTTCCCTTGCCCACCAGTGATGCCAGGACAGGGGGTGGCAGTCCCCCCCAGACTCCCAGCATCACCCAGCCTGAGGTTATCAGGGCTGACATGCCCCAGACATCCCCAGGGCCTGGGTCTGGTGCCAGGCCTAGCCCCCTAACACCACTGAATGCAGGGGCTGGTGCCAGCCTTGGTCCCCCAGCACTGCTGACTTATGAGGCTGGTGCTGGCCCTGGACCCGTGGCACCATTGACCCCAGAGGAAGCTGACAGCCCCATGGCACCGGTGACCCCAGAGGAGGCTGGATCTGGCCCCATGGTATCACTGACCCTCAAGGAGGCCAGGACCAGCTCCACAGCACAGGTGACCCCAGAGGAGACCAGGACCAGCTCCACAGAACAGGTGACCCCAGAGGAGGCTAGGACCAGCCCTGTGGTACCAGTGACCCCAGAGGAGCCCAGGACCAGCTGTATGGCGCAGGTGACCCCAGAGAAGGTCAGGACCAGCCCCACAGCACAGGTGACCCCAGAGGAGACCAGGACCAGCCCCACAGAACAGGTGACCCCAGAGGAGGCTAGGACCAGCCCTGTGGTACCAGTGACCCCAGAGGAGCCTAGGACCAGCTCTATGGTGCAGGTGACCCCGAAGGAGGCCAGGACCAGCCCCACAGCACAGGTGACCCCAGAGGAGACCAGGACCAGCCCCACAGCACAGGTGACCCCAGAGAAGGCCAGGACCAGCTCTATGGCACTGGTGATCCCAGAGGAGACCAGGACCAGCTCTATGGCACAGGTGATCCCAGAGGAGGCCACAACCAGATCTGTGGTACCGATGACTCCAGAGAAGTCCAGGACCAGCTCTATGGCACAGGTGACCCCAGAGGAGACTGGGTTTGTCCCTATGGCCCTGATGACCCCCGAGGAGGCCAGGTCCAACCCCACAGCACCACTGACTCTGGAGGAGGTGCGGATGCTGGTGGAGCTCTTCTACCTGCCCTACCATCATGGAGCACTGGCACAGGAGCTCCTGGAGCACTTTCGGTGGCTTCGGGCAAACAGCCTCAGCGTGGGGGTCCCAGCCACGGCACCTGATGCCTGTGGGGTAAGGCTGGTCCAGGTGCTGCTGCGGGAAGGTGCCTGCCATGGTTGCCTGATGCCAGGGCACGCAGTGGCGAGGCCGAGCCCAGTCCTTCCAGCTGCTCTGTGCGCAGACCTGTCGCCTGCACAGCCGCTTCGTCAGCACTGCTGGCCGGGCGCTGCTCTATGACCTCCACCCCTACCTCTGGGACATCCGCAACATGCTGCTGGCCGCCAGTGCCTTTGTCCTCTGGCTGGGTACGTGGCTGATGCCAGCCCCTGGCCACTCCTCAGCATACATATCCATACCCTTGCCAAACCCAGCCCTCTTGGTGCCAGGGCCCTGGAGCACTGGGGCACATCCAGGATGCCTGAAGCTTGTTCTCTGGTGATCCACTGTTGCCCTGCTAAAGACGTGAAGGTGTCTGGGACCCACCCCAGACGTCTGGGGTCACTGTGTCTAGTTGGAGCTGCCAGGGTCTCTCCTGTCAACTCCTTGCAACACCTTCTCTGCCACTTGCTCATGTCCCATGCTCACCACCTTGCCTTCTTTGCAGATGGTCACCTCCTCTGCGACCCTGACCCCAAGGGCACCTGGGGAAACTGCTTTGGCTGTAAGTACCAGCACTGCCCTGGCTCACCTACCTGGGCAAGGGGCCTTGCTGCTGGCCTCCATCACCCCCAACCCCAGCAGCAGCCAGCACTCACCATCAGGCTGCCTTTGCCCAGGCCCTGCCTGCCATGTGGAACAGGAATGGCCATGGGAAATCTTGGCACCCCTGTGTGTCCCAACACACCAGGGCAGAATGGGGCCCTGCTGCTGGGGATGGGGCAGCCATCAGAGCCGCTCTTCATCATCATGTCTCATAGCCTAGAAGGAATGCCTAATTCTAGAATATGGGTTCTCAGCCCTTTTATTCCAAGGACCCCTTAGCCTGTCTGGGAAAAGGGATGTGTGGGCCACACAGTAATGCCCTGGGTCACAGAGATGACACTGGTTTTTGAATGCCTGTGCACCAGTTTGGAAGCTCATGTTCCTCTGGTTTAGGGTTCCCTCATTGCTCTGTGGGCCTTGTGATCTCTTACAAACCAAGAACTGTTACCAGGTGGTGACCTGAGCAGGTTTCCAAGTTCAGTGTCTAAGGGGGCTGTGCACCTTGAGCCCCCTTCCACAGGGAAGCAGGGTCCCTGCCTGGGCTGCACACCTTGGGGGCAGGTTCTCGGAGCTGTGAGAGTTGCTGTGACAGGGATCATGACATTGCTGTGTGACAGAGGCTGATCTCCTGCTGCCTAGTAGGTTTTTGTTCACTTCATATGTGTCTGTGTCCTACTTCCAGGGTGCCAGAGTATCACTGCCCCAATCCTGCTGGAGAGGGATGCTGAGCCCTGGGTGCGTCGTGGGGGCCTCTTTGGAGAGCTGCAGGTGAGAGTGTGCCCCTGGTTGGCTGAAGGAGCCATTGGGAAACCAGTATCTCAGCCCTGCTGTTGGGTTGCTGTAAGCTTGGGAAGTCAGAACTGCCCTGGGCCTCTGCACCTTGTCTGTGGTTCCTGAGGTTTGGGGAGCTTCAGAGAGACCCTCCTGCTGTGTCCAGTTCAAGGTTTGGAGCCAGGACAATCTGATAAACTCTATCTCTTCCAGGCACTGCTGCCTGTGGGGAACAGCTGTGACCTCTTCTACCACCCACCTCCACTCTTCCCATCCAGCCAGCTGTACCTCCTGCGCCCACTGCTGCCTCTGGACAAGGTGCGAGCCATGGACTGGGGCGGGTGTCCTGCCAGAGCTCATGTTTGCATGGCCCATGCTGCATGTGTGCTGACAAGTTACAGGCTCATCTGCTGCTGAGCCAGGACTGAGCTCACAGTGCAGGCTGACACAGTGAGGGACGTTGGGTCCATCTCTGCTCAGAGCTGGCTGGCCTGGGGCATCTCACCTGGGGCTGTGTTCAGCAGCATGTCAGACCCTGGGCTGGAGAACAGCTGTTGTGGCCTTGGCAGGGACCATCACCTGTGATGAGGGCACAGACAGAGCAGGAGAGGGAGCCTGGCTCAGCAATGAGCATCAGGCCCAGCCATGGATAAACCAGCACCAGATTGTGGGTGATCTCCAGAGCAGTCTCAGTGCTGAGCTCCAGCAGTGGCTGTGAGCAGATGTCAGGAAAGATCCAGAACAGGACAAGTCTGGATGGCAATCTCCTGCAGCCTTCACCAGTCTGCAGCTCTGGGCACTGGCTGAGCCTGCAGGGGTTCATCTCCAAATCAGTCCCTTCTTCAAACACTCATCCAGTTTCCAGGGTGATTCCCTGCTGAAGAGCAGTAGCCTCTGTCAGCTGTGACCTGCTTGCAGACCAACCCTTTGCTCTGACATCCCAGAAGCTCAGTGGGATGGGGAGAGAAAGGGATAATCTGGATGTGGGGGACACACACCAGTTAAAGTGCTGCTAAATCCAGCAGAGCTCTGCATTCCCCATGTACTGCAGCCTGCAGTGAGCACCCTACTCCCTCATCCTGCTCTTGTCCTAGCTCAAGGAAAGGCAAAATCCAACCACCACAGACATGAGCGCAGCTCCCTGCTGAGCACAGCACCCGACCATGTGCTGCTGCGGCGCTTTCACTAGCAGAGGAGGAGCTGCAAGCGCAGGAGAGCAGAGCATAACCCCAGACCACACTGTCAGCAGTTCCCGTGGCGAGAGCTTGTTTCCAGTTGCCTGTTGTCAGATTTCATC